AGCAGAAGCACTATCTAGGGAAGATGTTCAAATGGGAATAATACTATCACATTAATTTTAACTGTTTTCACTTACCTGAAGTTGGATTTTGGATTTAATACAGTCACACACAATTTAGTTTAAAATTCAACAAAAATTAAAAGTGGTGCAATGGCCAACACGGTTGGTGTCTTGCCTTCATTTTCAACATGAAGTCAGGAACAAGTGATGGATCATCATTCTTGACAATTCTGTCAGACACACTACAGATCAGATCACGAGTTGCAGAAGCTTGGTGGAGGATGCTTAGTGAACCTCTAAGGTGGGTGTAGTAGTTCAGTTGCAGTTGGATATAAGGACAGACAGATAACAAAAACATCAAACTTGTGCTTTGAAATGTAACTTGATTTTGAATGCTGTTTGAATGGCAGTGTTCTTTAAAAAAAGTAGCAGATATGTTTTTGGATAAATTATTCAGCCAAGAAAATAGTGTGAGATTTGCTAAGTGAAGTTGTGTCCTTTTACGAAAATTCACTATTTCCTTTTAAAAGAATATTTTCTTTCGAAGTTTATCATTTCTAGATTCTTTACATTTGTTAATGGGATGTGGCCATCATTGGCCAGCATTTATTGCTCACCTCTAATTGCCCTGGAGAAGGTGGTGGTGACCTGTCTTCTTAAACCACTGCAATCCTTGGGCTACAAGGACACTTGCTGTTAGGAAAAAAGTTTCTGAATTTTGACACAGTGACAATGAAGGAACTGTGATATAGTTCGACGTGAGGATGGTGAGAGACTGGGAGGGTAATGTGTTGTTCTATGATGTATGGTCTACACGGAACAAAGTATGGAAGACTTGTAGATTTACGGTGATTGAACTAGTAAACAAAGGGAAATATAAAGTGGTAATGCAAGGTGCTCTGGACAGGGAGGAAGTAATAAATAATCAGGCTTGTAATCTCTCAGTGACTATTAACATTAACATTTGGATCCAAGTGGTGCAATTGTAGTGGAATGAGGAACATTTATCTATACGTTGACCAAGCTCTTTAATTTTTGACAATAGTCTTAGAAACCTCTGCATTAGTTCAACATCTCCAGATGCAATTATCTCATTGAGCTGGTGAGAAGCACAAATATATAGCAGTGTCTTTTTTTAAAAAGTAGCAGATATGTTTTGGATAAATTGTTCAGCCAAGAAGCTAGCGTGAGATTTGCTAAGCAGTGTACTTTTAAACAAATAAGCAAATTGGGCCCGGAAAGATATTTGCCCGCTTCTCACCACCTCAGCAATTATGAACTGGGCAAGAAGGTCCATGGTAGAAGCTCTCTAACAGCCAGCAATTAGTGGTCAACTAGCAACCACTTAAAGGCCTCAATTTGCCCACCTCCCTGATCACCTGCCAGATGCAGAATATACTATGTTTAAAGCCTATTGAACTGAAGTCTGTGATAAAACCAGTTAGCTGGAACAAGTCTGTTGGATTGAGTTTAAGGTGGAAGCTCATATCACCTAGAAACATCTTACTTCTTCAGTATATCTATTTCATGATTATCACTCATGTTTATTTTATTTAACTCTGTACAGTAAAGATTCTTATGGTGTTTCAATGCAACCTTGGAATCCCACACTTTTGTACATCCATTACTTCCATACATCATATTTTTTCAAATAATTATGGTCTATCAAGGCAGAACAAATACCTGACTTGTCCAGTATTCTCATTACAAGTATATTCTGTAAATCAGTACTAAAAGACAGTCAAAGAGTTGACTCTATCTCCAGTTTTCACTTTTTTTTCCTGTGGAAGACATAGCTCCCTTTTTTATGGGGTATTCTCCAATGCATCAGCTGAGGTCAACAAGTCATGATGCAAACCCAGTTCCCATGACATCCCATTTCTCACGGACCCAGCTCATAAATAAATTCTAACAAGCTAGTGTAAAGTCAATTTAATTCTGTATCAGAATGACATTAAATGCACCCGAATAGTTTAACTAGATTGCCAACAGATACTCAGAACATACAAGTTCCCACTTTGGTTATTGGTAAAGTTGTCACTAAACGTGACACCGAAACTTGTCAGCTAACATTGATCAATTTATCATTTCCTAAAAACAAAATGGCTAAATTGGCGAGGCAGAATAGTGATAGGTCATGTTATTAAGATTTATACACACTAAACAAACAACTTTTGGTTTCAGGGTACAAGTGGAATATCAATTTATTTTTGTATCTCCAAAGTGTTTTCCTTTTGGACTGGCAAGACAGTGTGTTCAGTTTTATGTATTGATTTTTATTTAACGCAATGTGCCAAACATTTTCTGGTATAGAGAGAGAAGAACAGTAGCAGTTCCCAGTTGAGTCACGATTTGTAACACTAATTCTGAATTTGCTTCAATTGTGTCAGCACCAAAATCATGTTAGGAGTCATATTGAGATTATTCACAGATCGCAGATTAATTTATACAAATGGATATTTGTTTATGCTTTCATTTTTAAATGTATGCAACTGGTTATCCTTGTCCAGATTTTCATGAGTGCATAGAAATAATGGGTTGTGCTATTCACTCTGTGAAGTTATCCAGTATTATTTTCTTGCTTGTCAATAGAAATTTATCAAATAAAAGCAAAATACTGCAGATGCTAGAGATCCAAAGTAAAAACAGAATGTGCTTGAGAAACTCAAGGTCAGGCAGCATCTGTGGAGAGATAAAGAGTGTTTAACTTTTGTGTCCAGTGACTCTATTGGACTCAAAATGTTAACTCTGTTTCTCTCTTCACAGATGCTGCCTGCCCTGCTAAGTTTCTCAAACACCTTCTGTTTTTATTTCAGTGGAAATTACTATTGTGCAGGCATCTGATTCAATGTGCCCCCTCCACAAGGGAACTGGCATCTGTGAGCATGGAAACTAATCAGTCAATCAAACTGCAGAATTCTTAATAAGATTGCAAATCACAAGTTTAAAAAAAGCAGAAATTGCATTTAAGCATTGTATAGGAAGCTATATAAAGAGTTGGACAAAGAAATCCGATCATGACAGAGACACAAAATATAAAAACAAAAAAAAACATGCAAGTTAACTTCTTTCTAAAGAAAGGAGATTCTGCAATTCTAATACTAACTCGAGGCCAAAGTGGTTGGTTGACTATACTTGTTGCAAATGTACCATTAAAAACAAAAGTTACTTCTGATTGAATAAGGTCTAAGTTTTGCTTTTGTCTTTACTGTGAGAACACTGGTTAGTTAGTCCAAATTTGAGATAATACAATGATCTCCATAGGAGTTCTATCTGGAATGACTTTAACAACACAGCTTATTGGGGAGCAGGAGTCTCCGAGAGCGACTTCTGCACTTCCATATTTAACTGCATCACAAGTGTACTTCAGAAGTTGCTGTCAGCTTTACTATATAATAACAGCAACAACTATCTTACTATTATTAATGTAGCAATCACTGGGCCAATATCAAAATCAAAAGAATGGACGTAACTCTTAATGAGTGAAAATGACAAATGAATGCTCAATTGGTACCATTCTCGCTTCTAAACCACAAGGTACTGCGTCCAAATCCTACTCCTGGACTTGAGTGCAAAAATCAAGGCTGACACTCCAGTGCGCTACAGAGGGTGCCATTTTTCAGGCAGGTTGCTAAACCTAGGCTCCATCTGTCTCCTTGGTTCCATGTAAAGGATCTCATGGCACTACTTCAAAGAAGAGCTAGGGAGTTATCCCTAGTGTCTTGGCCAATGTTTAATTCCTCAGTCAACATCACAAAACCAGATCATCCAATCATTATCACATTGCTAATTGTGAGAGTTTGTTCTGCACATGTTATCTGCCACTTTTCCCGTATTAAACAGTGACAGTTTCAAAACTACCTCGTTGGCTGTAAAGTACTTTGAGACATCTGGTGGTCATGAAATGTGCTGTAAAATAAAGTCTTTCTTTAGTACAACCAGCTTTCACATTAAGTTATCCGCAGAATAAGATTTCTTTTGTACGTTACTTTGCAACAGACTGGAAATGTCAGTATAATTACAACAAGAAAAAGCAGTTGCCCTGAAAAGAAATGCGCATACATGGTTAGACAAGTGAGTTACCACTCACTATTAATGGAATCGTGAACATTGGTAATCCAGGAATAACATAAAACTTAGTTTTGTTTGAGATGGGTAGAAACAATAGCCAAATTGGCTTCACTAGCATCATCTATATGGGATAATGTCGCGTGATGAATTCAGCAATTTCCCAATTTCAGCAATGTCTCAATGCTACATGAGATTAAAGCTGTTTTGAAACTTGTTGCAGTGTTAGAAATTATTTTAAGACAATGTACAAAATACTGTATTAATAACTTTGTAAGAAACTGCTCCATTTACATTTGCAGTTCAGATCTTGAAAGAAAATACTAACTAACTGAAATCCACCTCTGAGGGTAACAAGATTGTGTTGATTAACAAAGAAGGTACAAACTATTTTGAATAGTGCTGAAAACAGAAGTTGCTCTTAAAGCTTTTTTTCCCCAAGGACAACTGATGGAATGCCATATGCCAAATTATCACAACAATTTATACTACAGTAGAAAAGTGGTGTGTATTGGTTGGCATGTCAACTCTGGTGATCACCAAGATCTTACTCGGAGAATGTAAAGGGAACTATAATCTTCCCAAGCTTCTGGGCAATGCAAAAAAGGGAGGCTTGAGAATATTCCATTTGTTTGTAGTAACCAAATCTTTGCATATAAATGATTGTCACTTCTAGCCTGAGTGACTAAGCCATGTTAAAGAGCTCGATTATATTAAATTGGTTACTCCAGCTATCACCACATTCAGGATTATTCAGCAATTGCTGCCCAATTATGGAATCACATCTAACAATAGACATTTTGTGCAATGTAAAATAATTTCAAATTATTTATAGAAAAATCACAATAAAGAAATGGTTAATGCTATGCTAGATTGGTACACAATCATTAACATGTTTTAGATAATGAATATTATAAAAAAATGGCACATACCTACAGCCTGAGGAGCAATGATCTGGACAAATCCTGCTGAGAATGTTATAAGAACAACAGGGTATGTGACCCAGGCCAAGTACTGCAGAAAAACATTGTGCTCTAGGCCACCATACATCCATTTCTGAGCTGTGGAAACAAGCAATTATACAATGTTAAAGTAAATTCCTGGGGGCTGTGTGTAAGCATCTTTAAATCTGGTCACACTACTTGCTTAATGTACTGCAATACACATTATGATTAAACACATAAAAAAGACTGTTTTGTTAGCTTTTAGAGAATGCACAAAGAAATTATACAGTTATACAGCCCGGAAACAGACCCTTTGTTCCAACTTGTCCATGCCAACCAGGTATCCTAAACGGAGTACTCCCATTTGCCTGCATTTGGCCCATACCCCTCTAAATCTTTCCTATTCACATACCTGTCCAAATGTCTTTTAAATGTTGTAATTGTATCTGCCTCTCCTCTGGCAGCTCATTCTGTACCGCACCACCCTCTAAGAAAAAGTTGCCTCTTAGGTCCCTTTTAAATCTTTCCCCTCTCACCTTAAACCCATGCCCTCTAGTTTGGACTGCACCATCCTCAGAAAAAGATTTTGGCTATTCACCCTATCCATGCCCCTCATGACTTTAAAAACTTCTATAAAGGTCACCTCTCAGCCTCTGACGCTCCTGGGGATAAAAGTCCCAGCCCGTCCAGTTTCTCCTTAGAATTCAAACCCTCCAGTCCCAGCAACATCCTTGTAAACATATTCTGAACTCTTTCAAGTTGAATAACATCCTTCCTGTAGCAGGGCAACAGAACTGTAAACAGTATTCTGATATTGGCTTCACCAATGTCTTTTATTGCTGCAGCATAACATACCAACATGCTCTGACCAATGAAGACAAGTGTGCCAAATGCCTTCTTCACCACCCCGTCTAACTGTGATTCCACTTTCAAAGAACTATGCACCTACACACCTAGGTCTCTCTGTTCAACAACATTCTCCAAGGCCCTACCACTAACTGTATAAGTCCTGCCCTGGTTTGCCTTACTAAAATGCATCACCTTGCATTTATCTAAACTAAACAACATCTGCCACTTCTCTGGTCATTGGTTCCCATATTATCAATAACTTGTGATATTGAATTTAAGCTCACCTTTCCAAAGAACAGTGTCAGGACATTGATTAATTGTTTTCAATGAATCTCGAGGTTCTATTTGAACTTGGGGAAGGAGTTTAGTGCGGGGTGAGCAGTACGCTCAACATGAGAAGTAAGTTGTTTGTGGTGGGGCTTTAAAATCAGACCTCTGGAAAGATAACTTTCATGAAACAGAGCTTTAGATGATTTTTTTAAAAAATAGTTTGAGTTTGAAAATTATTAAAATAGATCACATATTGATGAACCTGTATTATTTATAAACTAAAGGCTATGCTATTGCTTTCCACTTTCTTTCTTTTCTAATTGTATAATAGTAAGCAAATGCACAAGACCAGAAAGACTACCTGGTAGTGTCAGTTTATAGGATATATAACAACTCCGAGTAGGTCTAATGCTCCAAAGTGACAATTTTGCAGACACTGATCCATCTCAGTCCTGAATTTGCTGGTGCAGTTTGGGAACATGCATACTCACGTTTGCACTTGTTATTTTTTGACACTTTATCTGATGCTGTTTCCAACAATTTGAAGCCTTCTGTAATTCAACCTTTTTTAAAACCAACTTGCTCCTTCATGGAAAGGAAATAACTATTTTCATTATCTAACCAAAAGTAGTTATGGAAATATGACTGCATCTTTACTACACTTTTTACACTAGCCTGACTCCACCACTCACCATACCCAGAAGAATGCATTACTGCCAGGATACCCCAGAATGGACTGGCATCCTTGCTTCCGTTAGTCTGGAGCTGTTGTGCGGGGGTCTTGACATTTGACCTGGACCTGTCAGACAAGGGGAAAACTGTGGCACACCACTTTGTGGACAGGCATCGGGGGTCCTGCTGGACAGGGTGGTGCAGAGATAGTCCTTGGGATAGGAGGATGTCCTATCAAAGGAGGCCACAACACCAGATCGTGTCTGAGGTTGCCCACTGAGGTTCAGTGCAGTCTCAGCCATCTGGAGAAATATGCAGCAAGGTAAGGAGGAGAGCGCTCTCCAGTCCCTCACTCTGTCTCTGCTACTACACTGACCTCCTACCTAAGCTCATGCTCGATCACTCTCACTGTTGCCTGCAACATCTTCCCCATTCAATCTTACCTTCCCCAGTACCCGACACCACAAACCAGGCAAGCTGCCTGTGCTGATTTGCTTACTCACTCAGTTGATATGCCTCCACACTTGCACTGACAGTCACAGCTGTGCTACCTACTTTCATCTCCCGTAATACCTGCGTCGGCTTTATTCCGGGAGGAAAGCAGCTCACAATAGGGCACGAGGAATAAGGATGGACGGTAAGCTGCCCAAAATTCAGCTCTCAGCCCTTAGGAGGGGAGGATCCTGACTTTGACTGCCCCGAGAGTGACTGACTGACCATGCCCAATCCCCTGGACTGGTATTGGTGATTGCCCTTAAGGTAGCGTGTCAGGATCCCCAAGCAAAGATTATCGCCTTTGACTTGACTGAGGACTGCTGACAACAACAACCAGCTTCCTGGCATTGAATCTACACTAAATGGAAAGGCAATATTCTAGTGCTGTGAGCCTGGTGTCTCTTTCAAAGCACAGAAACACAAGGTGAGGCAGGGATGCCGTGAGCATTCAGGTAGACTCAATATGCTCAGAGTGAGTGAGTGTGAAGAAAACAAGTGAACCCCCTGGTGATGCGGCCTAGTCCAGCCCAGGAGTTGGGCACATGTCCCTGAGTGCAGTGTCGTTGCTGCAACATTACAATGATAGTTTCTGGTACAGCCTGAGGTGCAGCATTGAAGGGCGGAAGCATCCTGCGAGTGGATCAGAGACGTGCCAGGAAGGTTCTCAGAGGCTGGCACATGTTCACGGTTCTGTAACATGTTATGGAGTGCAGCTGGTGCCCATGGACTGTGCCCTGAGGCAGTGATAGTTGGTGCCCAGTAAGCAGCAAGCTGAAGTCACCCAGGTACCCTTCTCACTTCCATGACAAGAATTCTCAGTGTCTAATTTGCTCATGCCGGGTAGTACGACAGAAAACTGCATATTGATGAGGAGAGACCTGCAGTCAATGATGTCATTAACAAGCAACACCACCTTCCCTTAATAGGTAACCCGTCACTGCCTGGTGAGAACTTGGTCTCAATGCCTGTAACTTTGTTAAAAGATGCAGGGAGTAGTTCCCAACATCAAGACAAGCCTTGCTGGATTTTTCACATGATTCACATCATAGCCCACATCTTTAAGACTCCTACAAGATTCCACCTACCTTTACAATAATCCGCAGTAACGCAGCTCAATATCACATCTAGCACTGTCCCACACTTACGTCAGGCTGGAGGTAACTAGAATTACCTCAATAAAAAGTTATGCTGATTTAGCTTTCAGCCAAACACCATGAGCTAGAATTAGCTGACAAGAATAACGGTGACACTAATTGCACTCATCATTATCTATGCATACAGGATTCAGAAATTTCAGACAAGGGATAAAATGCATCATTAAACTCAAAGATCAATAATTGTCTTTTGAGTTACGTCACACCACAATTAGACTCATGAAAACAGCATCTCTTGGAATGCATCAATATTGCAACATATTTGCACAGTAGATGTGAACTAAACTCAGAAAATTAACTTGTCTCATTATTAGGAGGATATTTTCAATGATATTGACAAGTGTTAATTGCTTTTACACATCCTTGATGGCATTGAAAATTAACTACAAACAAAGTTTCATTCCCTCAGGTTCCTATAGTGATTATAAACATAGAAAAATTAAATTTATTTTTACTTTCTTTCCTGAATCACTTTTCCGCTTTTAATCCAATCTCTGATTCTCTTGTTATTTCCTTTTCTGCACCTGAAAAAACCTTCACCCATTTGACTTTATAGGTCCTTGAATCTCTGTGCTGTTAGTTTCAATTTGATTTGTTAAGCAGATAGACAGTTGCCTATCCTGTCTGCCCAAGCCCCAGATGCCTAGTTTTCTTGGCTGCACTGTTATCAGTAAACATTTTCAGCTATTTACCAGTCAAAATAATTCAAAAACCAATGTGTGCAAATTATGCTCCCATAAATTTATATAGCTTCAATAAGGACAGAGGCGAGGTGAATCATTGAAACAAGAGATCAAAGTTGAGTTTTAAGTTCACACCAAAAATTTGATTATCCTTTCTAGGTTAAAACATTTTCTGCATTTAAAACCTGAACACAGACTGGAGATAATCACAACTGCATAATACTGCTTTTTTGGTAGACTGAAATAAAACAGAAAATGCTGTAAATACTCAGCAGGTTAAGCAGCATCTGTGAAGAGAGTTAATGTAATAGAACAATGATGACCTACACCAGGATAATGGAATGATGATAATTACAGGTGTTCACTGTACAGGTGTTTCAGATAACATTCCACAATCTGACTTTTTCATGCAGCGAATAACCTAATGAAAACAAACAGTGATTATGACTGGTTTCAAAACCACCAGCCTTGCCCTCCATCTGGCTTTCTTTGTCTGATGACCTCTAATCTCAGTTGGAGAAGAGATTTTTTTCCCCCTGTGAAATGCTGACATCTGATGCACGGGTGGAAATGCTGTTGTCAATTTGAAAAATTGGTAGTTGCTTTGCTTGAGTTAAAGTGCCTAATGTGCTGTAAAGGCTGTGTCTCTAACAAATGTACTACAACCAGAGAAGGAGCTTTGTTCATAAAAAAAATGTAAATTTTTAATTTTCGTGATAAATGACCTATACCTCAAGATTATTTCAAGCAGAGTGGAACTGACGATTAAAGTAAAATGGATAGAAGAAGTACAATTTCAAAGCTGGTAGATAACATAAGGATCAACAATCTAATAAATAGCCAGTAGGATAGTTGGAGACCCAGCAGGCCATAAACAGACCGATGGAACAGACGGTGCATGGCAGATGCAAGTTAATGCTGATTAAGTATGAAGTGATGTACTTTAGAAGAAACAACTTGAAGCGCCAGTATAATCTAAGTGGGATATTTTTAG